TAAAACAATTTCCTATTTAGCTTCTATTTTTTCAATTATATTCGAAAAAATATGAATTTGCATAAAAATCTGCAGTCTAGTCGTTAGTAACGAGACCTAATCGCTCTAGTTCAAAAAATGCCTACATAAGAAAGCATAAGTAAGCATCCTTGTCACCAATTTAAAACAGCTGGTTGACAATTATTTCACTATACATAAAAAACAAAATTAATATTGCGGTGTTGGGAATGCGTAATAACGTAATGCGGGAATAACGTAACGACAATACTCTTTTGACCCTTTTGTGACTTTTAGTACTCGAGGAAAAGTTGATCCCAATTTAGTATCCACCATATTGATCGAACAATTGACAAATTCTTCAGAAAAATAATTCAGTCACGAAATGATTAAGTAATAGTTACAATTACTTTTCACGAGACCAATTATTATTTGCAACGCCGCTTATTTGAGAAATGTATTTTCCACGAAACACTGACGTGGTGCCAATATTTTTTTTTTAAATATTGAAAATTGACATGGAAATCTTAGTCTACCTGGATGGTTTATACATGTTAGGTGGGACCTATGTAGACTTTTGTAACCGACTGTAAGTGGACATACGTGCATGGTAGAGGCTGGCCCAGGGGTCTAGGCTAAGCAAATAGAGCCGCGGAAATTACGAGGAGGAGGTGAAGTTCACTTTTCTATGAGTGCTCTTTGCGAGAGGAGGCTAGGTGTCGAGGGTATGTAAATATTCTAAATACGAATGGAGATAGAGGTGTTTTTAGGAGCACGCGGTGAGAACTTCGTTTAGTTGTAACTTCTCTTTTCTTTTTGCTAACCCTGTCGCAGAGTGCTACGAGGATGAGAACTCAAATAACGAACAAGCATAAAACTATATATTAATTGTTACAATATACACTGCTCGCCAAAGAATTGCGACACTTAAAAATTGGGGTTGCACAAATCTGAAAATCACATATTTTTGGGATTACTCTCAGGAAAAAATGACCTTTTTCAACCAAAGTTGAAGCATTTTTCCTTTTCAATATATGCGATTTTATTTTTAAGGTGTAGCAATTTCTTTGGCGAGCAGTCTATTAAGTATCATATGATACTCTTAAATCGTTCCCTCCCTGCTCTCCGTAATTTTGTCACACTGTGGAAGGGTTAATTACAGATGTCGACTCAGATGGTTTTTACATATTTTTAAATATACGGAACGTGATTTATAAGCATTGCTAGACAATCGATCAAACAAGTACTGATCGTCACAACAGACTCTTAAAGAGTGGCATACAGCAGAAGAATGTTTCCCAAATTGGATTCCACGAGATAAGGTCTTTTAATAAAATTTATTTTAGAAACAATTTTTGTTTCATTTAACGTCTTATTAAAATTAAGATGGCGAGGGTTGTTCGTAAAATATAAGCATGAGTTACGCAATTTTAGGAAAATCGTGCGAGGGTTCCGTGAGAAAATAAGTTTAGGAACCACTGCTATAGAACATTGTTGCAGTAAATTATAATATATTCAGGGTGTCCCAGTCTTTTCCTATCAAACTTTGTCAGCATGTTCTATGGATCTAAATAAAAGAAAAATGCTATATTAACAGGTCATTTGAAGCTTCATTAAACAATTAGAACAATAATATGATATACGAAAGGAATGATAAATACAACAATCTGAGGTGGTTGAAGGTATTGAATACAACTTTTGCCAGTACTATTCCTGTCTTGTATTATAGTAACCCCAAGTTAGTTACCATTCCCCTCGTATTTCATATTATTGTTATAACTTTTTAACGAAGCTTCAAACGACCTGTTTATATAACATTTTTTCCTTAAGTGTACCCATAGAATATACTGATAAAGTTTGATCGGAAAAACCTAAACTAATATACTAAAAGTTTTAAAACTTTTTCGTCATTATGATTTCAAGGTCATTTTAAAGAAATATGCTGAACTTGTTTTTTCAGCACTTTCGTAACACCAAACCAAAAATATAGTATTCAAAAAAAAAAAGGGGGACCTTAGTATGACCTTGAAAAATTTATTTTTCAGTGTCATTCTACATAAAAAATGATGATAAAAATCTCGTTACATTTTTGTCCTATCACCTACTTTGCAATAGTTACCAATATCAAATAACACTTATCGTGAAACAACCTGTGTGATACAACGGAATATTTGTACAAGACATAGAGCAACAACAAATTCAAACTTCATTTCCCCTCTAAATATCTCAACCCTTCGCAACCCCACATGCTTCATTCTAAGTTTCTATTAGATCGTGTAATATGAAAAGACAAATTTCTAATCATTCACGAGTGTTGAAAAAGTCTGACTATTTTCCACTTAACTTAAAATTTGTACAATTCTTGTTAAGTTGCTGTTTGGAATTCTAAGCCATTTCCATCGGATATTTCATATTACAGGACCTAATAAGCACGTCTTCTTCCAATGTAACAACTTCACACGCGCGCATTTTCGATGATAGAAATCTAAGAAAGTGTATCTATCTCAACAATAACGTTTGCTTCATCGTTAAATCCGTCATCCTTTTTCTAACAATTCCAATTTAGCAACGTAACCATCCTATTTGAACAAAAAAAAGAAAGGGGGAAGACGACGAGGAGAGAGACCTGTAAAGCTAGATATGCGTCATTCCGTGTGTTGCTCGGCAATAGGGGCACGCGATAACGCTCGAAAAGCCTCATAAATTGCGGCAGGGGCGTAGATAACGAGGCGCATTGGCGTGACCTTCTCGCGGCGAGTGTTCGCGGGCCGCTTTAAGGCCGCTTTTAAAGCCGCGACGATAACGACCTGCTCGCGAGACTACCGCGCACGCATGCGTTTTCACTCGCGAATTGCACCATACACCATTCAAGTTTCAATAGCCGACCTTCACCCTATGCGTTCAACAGCGCGCGCGCACACGTTAAACACTCTACATCGCGAGTTTATTGGAATCGTCGTGAGTCACTTGCTTCGAGATATCGATACGAGTGCAATAGACCGTCTTTTTTCTGTCAATAATAATACTTTCGATCATTTCTGGTGAAGCAATGTCAGATCTTAAATTAATACGGTGAAATGTGCGTGGAATTGGTATAGGTTATATTTGATGGTTAAACGTGGAGGTTAGGTTCAATTTAATTGGGAGAAGAGTTGCTCTACATATATAAATGAATAATATTATTTTAAGTCTAAAAGTATATTTAAAGAAAGAAATGAAAGTTTGCAGTTTGGTATCTGCAATAGCCAGCAGATGATACTTATTAACCAATAAAACTGATTTCTCTGAAGTTACTACATACTGAAGTAAATGATTCTTAGAATCATTAACCTGTTAAATTTAGAAGACGAGTTAACTCGTCATTGACTCACAAATATTTAAAACACAGTAGTTTATTTATTGGCAAATTATTCTGTTATGCTTATATTAAATATAAAAAACGTCATATTCACATTTACAAAAACCAAAATGAAGTAAATGGTTACAACGTTTACATTATAAACTACAGAAGCGAACCCGGTTAACAGGTTAAGTAGATTGGGAAGGCGTTGAGTCAGACACTGGAATAACTCCAAACTTGTAGACTTCGAAATGTGAGCAGTAATTTCAATTACAATTTCTTTGCAATTGAAACCGCTGACAATCACTATAATTAACTTAATACTCTAATACAGATGATGAGAAAAATTTTCGTTACTCTAGAAATGCAGTAATCTGCGAATTGTATAGCAACCTTGGCTTCCGTTAAAAAAAAAACTAGAAGAAAAACTAAAGAATTCTCCAAAATTCCTCAAATTTATTCCATTTTTGTAAGAGATTTAAAAGTGCCATTTTCACGCTATTGTTTTGGAACAGTGCAAGCGTGTGAAATGAAATTGTAGCAAGTACAACTTTGAGAGTAGATAAGAGCAAGCCTTGAGAACGGTGCTAATTGATCGTCTACCAGCAGTATGCTAATTATCGTTCGCACATTTCAACAGTCGGTCTCGTTTAGGTACCATTAGAGCTTGAAATTCACGGCGCGAAGGTGTTTCAGCTGACATCGATTTTAATCAGCATGAACGATCGTGGGAGCTATAATTAGCGGAGTATTTGCCAAACGACGTATATCGTTTAAAATGAAATTGTAGTTTCAAATGTGACAACCAAATCAACGACCCACATTGTTCGAACGAACCGATAATTGAAAAAGAAGAGAGTACTGAAATAAGTTATTGCTTCTGTCTGTCGCTACTGTTAGTTTGTCGAATAACAAAGTTGCAGTGTATTACAGAAGGTACAAAGTTTAAAATAAAATGGAAAACAAAGAGAACTTTATGAGAAACAAATAACGTCTCACATACACGCGGGCAATTAACGCTGCTATGCAATCTTAATGCAACTCGCCATTTTATTATCTAGCTGGTATAATTCTTGTGAAACTTGCGTAAACTAATGACACGGGAATACGAGAAATGGTGCACGTGTGACGACACTAAGAATGAGATCTTTCTTC